GGATCGTAGATGATCCGTGATCCGTACGGACCAGGCCCCACGGTTCGGCACGCATGTGATTCGTGGATTGACTGTTAAGTTTAACCATCATAGAGTGAAAGTTTATCATTTGCACATGTTTTGTCTTGCCAGTTTACACATTCAAGCAGTTTTAACTCACGTGCTTTTTTCTGTGCGCTCAGCCGCTGCCGCGCGCAACCGAAGCGCGCACACGCAGAGAGAGAGAGGCACGATTCAGACACAGCGTGATTCCTTTTTTTACATACACACAAAGTTATGTTAAAATACCCGTTTTGGCAAGTATTCTAGTAAACGCAGTCGATTATTTCTTAAGTGAACGTAAACAGGTGAGAAAGAAACCGTATGCGTGTCAGTATTAGGGCCGTGCATTTGGTCTTAAAGCGACAGCAGCCAATAAATACCTGTTTCTGTCTGCTAATCAAGTAACACCACAGCTCTAACAAAGATTAATCTGTATTTAACTTGTGCAGTGAGCACTATTGTGTTAAACTTAATTATTATTGCTTTTCCACTGCATGGTACAGCACGGTACGGCTTGGTACGGTTCACTTTTTGGGGGTTTTCCACTGGGTACAGTACCTGGTACCTGGTATTTTTTTTTAGTACCACCTCGGTTGGGGTTTCAAGTGAACCGTACCGTTACCAAAATGTGACCAATAAATACCTGTTTCTGTCTGCTAATCAAGTAACACCACAGCTCTAACAAAGATTAATCTGTATTTAACTTGTGCAGTGAGCACTATTGTGTTAAACTTAATTATTATTTCTGCACCTAAATTCTGTTTTCATCTATGCTTGTAATTTGTGTAATTGTTAGTTTTATTACTAACTTTATTAGTAAAGTTAGTAGTTTTTGCTATGGTATAGAAGTACTTAAAGTAAGGTTGTTGTTTTTTTGCTGATCCGAAAAATTATCCGATCCGTTGCACCACTATGAACCACTGATGTCACACGGACTACTTTGTCGATCATCTTGGTACTTTTCTGGACTTTGAACGTGGTAGTTACCTTGCTGTCTATGGGAGGGTCAGAGAGCCCTCAGATTTCATCAAAAACATCTTAAATTGTGTTCCGAAGATGAACGAAGGTCTTACGGGTTTGGAACAACACGAGGGTGAGTAATTAATGACAAAATGTTCAATTTTGGGTGAACTAACCCTTTAAATGTGTTAAGAAACTGTCATGAAAGTGTGCTCTATTTAAGTACACTTATTAATGACAGAATTTAAATTTTTGGGTGAACTAACCCTTTAAGCAAGGATGCATTAAATTGATCAAAAAAGAACAGGAAGTACTTTAACATTATTACAAAGAAAATTATATTTCAAATAAATGCGGTTGTTTTGAATTTTATAATAATCATAGAACCCTAGAAAAAAAATAGGTTCCACAAAAATATCATGCAGCTCAGCTGTTTTTAACATTGATAATACATTTATTCATTTGGCAGATAATTGTGTTTCTTGAACATAATAAATGTTTCTTGAGAACCAAATCAGCATATTTCAACATATATCAGCACCAATGATTTCTGAAGGATCATGTGACACTGAAGACAAAACAGTTCTTTTAAATTGTATTAAAGGTGACCTATTATGCCCATTTTTACAAGATGTAAAATAAGTCTCTGATGTCCCCAGAGTGTGTGTGTGTGAAGTTTTAGCTCAAAATACCTTACAGATCATTTTTTTATAGCTTGTTAAAATTGTCACTTTTAGGG